ACTTACAAGGTAGAAATTTTCGGGTTGTCACGAATGAGTTCATATTTCATTGCCAATCATTCTTATGTTTTTTAAGATTCATGAATAATATAAAACAAAAAGTAGTTGTTTTATTAGAATTTATATTATATCACCAACAAAAAAAAGCGTAATACCTATAGAGTTTGTTTGCCAATGGATGTTTTGAACAAAGTTTCAAACTTTTTAATCTAAAAAAATAAGGATTAACAACGTACAACCGAATGTTTCCGAACCTGTATTGCACATCGAACCAGTGAAAAATGCCAACTCTATGTAAATTCCAAAGCAAATAGAATTGAGGATTCTCAGAGTCTAAAATCATACATGTCAATTTTTATCAACTTTGAAAATAAAAATATAAAGGTACCTGTTAAGTGATCCAGAGAGGCTAAGTCATAGATGATGGATGTGACGTTATAATCAAATCGATGGTGGAGGTCGATTGGAATATGGAGGTTCAATTCAAATCATACTAACTGCTCATCGGAATGATGCAGTCGACCCTTTCTGTCTCCAGCATCCTCCCTTTCTCTCGAACACCTTTTGTATCCGACAGAGATTCCTTCATAACTTCCACTTACCGATGATGTTGATTATCCAGACTGGCCTTGGAAAACGACATCAACGGAGGTGAAGGGAACACACAAAGAAACCCCTGTGAGAGAGAAAGCAAGAGTCGATTTGAAGCAACCGACAAATGAAATTGAAAGGTAGAGGCGCTAGACTCCTTTTTTTGTTCGTGTCACCAGACATCAACATAGAGAAATCGAGAACCCCTGCGGGTTTGATCTGTTCAAAGGACGGGATCAGAGATTTGGTTATATTGTGATTTTGTTGTGGGAGAAAAGAGGATTGCTGATGATATTAGGGTTTTTTGGGCATTAGAGTGAGAGAGATAGAGAGAGAGATAGAGAGAGAGAGAGAGAGAGAGATAGAAAAGAGCGATGGAAATAAGGTAGAGGATAACAATGGCGGGCTTTCAAAATTTTGGGATTTTCATTTACCCCCAGCTGCAAAAGAAGATAACGTGCCTTTCATTAAAAAAAAATATAAAGCGACATTTCTAGACGACACCAATTTTTAAATAAGTGCCCTTCGTGTTTTTAATTTTTTTTGTTGGACATTAATTTTAGGGCACGCACAAAAGCGTGTCCTCTATCCTTCAAATTTTAGAAGAGATGACATTATTTTTAGGGAACACGCTTTTGTGTATCGTAAATTACCGTGTGTCATTGTTTGCGCGTCATTAAAGGCTATTTTCTAGTAGTGATAATACATATACATGCATACAAATAATGGCTCAAGATCTTTCACCGATCCACCAATTGGTTCTCGACCTTTCGCCGATTGACCAATTATATATGTATCTAAACTTACGACGTACTTGGTATTTCATCGTTAACATGGGTCTATAGGCTCCTGAACTATCGCCATTTTGCCGTCAACCCCTAAGTTATCTAGTAATGAATAACTTAAATACAACAACATTTGTGAACATAAAGTCTACACTTTCGGCTCTACTAGTAGATGCACATAGAGACTATACTTTCTACTCTATTAGCTTCAAATACACTAACATTAAGCACCTAGAGTCTATAATACTAGCTCTTATATCATACATGAATATATATTGTAATACATAGTATACTGAGATAACTCACTTGGTTGAGGTGGAAGATCCTCGGGAAGCTAGCTCCTGGGCTAATGATTCATCTTATCTCTTTTAAAAAAACCTAAGTACAAATATTACTGTGTTTCAGCAATCATTTTTATTTATACTAATTCATGGATTCCTCAACAAAGCCAATGAATACATCGAGATCTATCAAATAATGAACAACTAGGTAACATCATATCAGAGGTAGGGTCTGTTTGGTATAAATGTATACTGTTTGGAAAACCCACATTAAACACCTTACTAAATCTAGCCTTGACATCAATCCCATAAGTAGATCAATCAATATTATGACTGGAATTACTGATAAATCTTATTTATACATTCATAATAACTACTATGAATATAAATATAAGTTACACTTAAAGCATAGTAAGTGCAGCTTAACTTACACAAATTTCTAGCGAAAACTTTGATAGTTTGCTGGCAGAACTCCGACCCGAAAGCTTCTAGTTATTGGGCTCTCTAATGCCACATGGTCTTGTTAAATACTCCTAATAACTAGAAAAAATCGAGCTTATAATCTCATAAAAATTCAGAGTGAAAGAAGTTGGATGTGAGAAATGATGTGCCCTTACCTTCTATTTATAGGCTGAATTCTGGGTCGTTCTTTATATTGGATTAGGTATCTAAGTCAATAACTAAATTGGTATGTACTTGAACTATTATCAAATTCCTTTTAGGTTGCCCTCAAACCTAGTAATTGACTAGAATGCTTTTTGGATAAAGAGGTTGATTTATTGATACAAAAATGATCAACGGACACACCATAAAAGTGTGACCATATGCGTATAATGACATTTTGTTTTTCCACTGAAAGTATGATTGAAGGTGATGCCATTGTATACGTCTTACAGTCACTTCAAAATTTAGTGTCTGTATGAAATGAAAAAATGTGGTCGTATCATAAAAGTGTGGCTATTGGGTAAGGAATTTTGTTATTTTAATCAATCATTTTATTCAATATTGTGGTGTTAAACCATCAGTAGACACCCTTTCTTAGTAATTATAGTGACTATATATCACCAATTAGCGACATCAATGTTGTTTTAGTGTGACGTTTTGCTAGTAAATTATCACACAATTCAAAGTTTATTGAGGTTATCGGGTATCTTTTGCAGACATGCAATTATGATGAACATGACAATGTTCACTAAATGACCACATGAAATTAATTTCATAAGTGGCGATTTGCTAATAATTATTCATAAAAACAATCTTTTATTGTGACTATTGTCTATCGTATAGAGACACACAATTAAGTATAAAGGGAATAATATGACCTAATTCTTCTCTCTTCCTTTCAAAAATCACTTACTAAAATCAACACAAAGTAAAAAAAAACCTCATTCTCTTCCTAAGCATTGGCATTTTTCCAAAAAAACACCAAAAGCGAACACAAATTAACACTACAAGAAAAATACCCTTTAATGACGCGCAAACAATGACACTCGCTGATTTACGATACGCATTTTTGTGTGCCCTTAAAAATAATGTCAGCCTTCCAAAATTTGAAGGATAGAGGACACGCATTTTTGCCTGCCTTAAAATTAATGTCCAACAAAAACAATACAAACACGGAGGGCACTTGTTTTAAATGTGTGTCCTCTAGAAATCAAACGCGCGTTTTTAAAGGGAAAAAATGAAATCCTCTGAATTTCTAAAATTTTGAAGTGCCCGCTTCTTCAATCTCTCCTGTGTATCTCCCTTCATTCACTCATTCCTAGGGCTTTTTCAAGAACCATTCTACCTAGGGTTTTTTCAAGAAAATTCAAAACGCTCTCCGATTCTCGATCGGTTCTCCCAGGCCTCTGCAACAATCGACGATCTCACTTCAGGCTTAGTTCTTCTCCGGTGAGCATAGGATCACCTCCCCGTGACCATCCTCCTCGTCATAAAATCATCCAACTAGGGATTTTTTTTCTCGATCTCTTCAGGTCCGTCCTCCAAAATTAAGGAAGAAACTAGTTTGATTTCTCCCCTAAAACCTGGACGACCATGCTCCTCGCTTCCATCACTGTCCCAAGATGTCTTCATTGTTCCTCCCTCGGTCTCTTCCATCAGGTAAGTTGTCGGACCATCTCATCTACTCATTTTTTACTATCTTTATTCTCGCTCTCTTTTTTTCTCGATTTTTCTTCTCCTTTCTCTGTTCTCCCTTTTCTGTTGAATGTTGTTGGCAGTTAGAATCCAGGGGAACAATAGAGGAGAGTCGAATGGTAGTGGTACACCACCACATTTAGGTGTAGGTGTAGGTTAGGGAGGGTTACCAACACCAACAACCCTCATCCTATCCCAAAGCCCTCATGAAATCGACTCAATGTACATCACCATGCTCAGAACCACTGAATTCTTGGGTAAAACCACATCATCGAGGTATGTGTTTTACATCTAATTTCACCTGTGATATTTCAATTTTTTTGTTATAAACGATCAAATTTAAAGATTTATGCTGTTCGGATCTTCTAATTTCTCATTTCTACTGGTAATCTCTTATCCCTTCTTTCATTTTGCGTTGTTCAGATCTTCTAATTTCTCACATTCTAGCCCTGTTTAATCTCGCTAGTGTTATCCAATTTCAGCTTCAGATGGTCTGGTCTATTTGTTTTGCGTTTAATTAATGGATGTGGTTTACTAAGTTAATTGAATTTTAGTTAAATCGCAATGGAAGGATTAGGTCTCATAGTTGTAGATTGAGATGAGAATTTTTAAGAAAAAAAAAATCAAAACGAAGCCTTAAATCATTAATTTAAGGCTTAAATAAATTTGAGAAAAAGTGGATTTATGTTCGATAAATGTCACATAGACTTCAAATATGTTCATTAACACAGATCTATTTCATCCGATTGACTATTTGTTTATTGCTACGCAAACCTGATTATCAAATTCATTTACATATATGACTATAAAAAAATTCATATGATTTTTCCTTCAGATTCATGGAGTAGAAGCTATGCGTGCTGAGCTTATGCAATTACATGCTGATATTAAGGAGTTGACTTCTACACGCCAAAAACTTACTAGTCAAGTTCAGGGTATGACTCAAGATCTTGCTAGAGCTACTGTTGACTTGCAGCAAGTCCCAGGACTGAAGTCAGAAATTGATGGGATTAGACAAGAATTACAACATGCAAGGCGACTTCATCATTCATGTCCCTATAAACATGTTACATTGCATATGGATGATGTAATCAAATGATATTTCCTTCTTGAAGGGCCGCAATTGAACATGAGAAGAAGGGGCAACTTTCATATTGGAAACATGGTGTAGATCAATCAAAATGTACTTATTTTGTCTCTTTTAATGTTAGATGTTGTTAGAGAGACTACAAATGCATTAACAGAAGAATCTTCATCACCAAAGACTAAAGTCTTTTTAATGGATTCACAAGAGTTTTCTGCTGACATGTGTAATGGGAAAAATACTTCACAATCACAACAAGATATCTCTCAGATATCATGTCCGGAAGGGAAAAACCTGACTCCTTTGAGTCAATCAGGCTTTAGGGATCCTGCAAGTATTGGTGCAGGACAACAGTTGACTATGTTTAGCATTGAGGTTCTCTTGATTTCTCTTTCATATTAGTGTTCTTGTTGATATATGAGACTAATGCAACACTTTTTGACAGGTTCAAGTTGAATTTAGGGGAGACTTGAGACCTGACCCTAGATTTGATGCTGTGAATTTCATAGTAACTGTTATTCAAGAAAATGATGAATCCTTAATCAATAGTTATGTTCTCTTACGAAGTGAGACCGCATCTGTTACAAGGTGCATCATTAATTTTTGTAGATTCCAGTTTGCTTAGAATTAGTTCCATAATCAATAAAAATTTCTTTGAAAAAGAAACAATGATCAAAGTTTGTTTAACATAAACCACCGTCAACGGCGGAGAAAACGAATGCGAGCGGGTCTGGAACGAAATCACAGCAGAAGCTCGTCGTGACGCCGAATCCGAACCAGCCCTCGCGTGTTTGGCTGCCAAGTGGATTAAAATGATTTGGAAGGGTTATTTTGGTAGATTGAAAACGAGCCTGTATATTTTATAAAGGGTACAATGGTAACTGTCATTCCTTGAAGAGATGGAATGAAAAAATATTGGTTAATGCTTTTTTCCTTTCCAGTTTATCAACGAAGCAACATTTTTTACTTCTAACTTTATCAAAATGTTATTTTAAATCATAGCCTTTATTAAACTGTTGGTTGACTTTTTATTGCTATTTTTACTTCTAACTTTATCTTTAGCCTTTAATATAGTACTGGGTTGATTTAATATGTGTTTTATACAGAAGCGGGATAATTTGGGAGAGAGGGTTATGTCTTTAGCTTTTGATGTTATATCTCGACTTCTAGAAATAGCCCCAGTGAGCTTTCATTCAGTGCATCAGCCAGTTAATATTTGTTTTCATTTTATTCCTTCTTACAAATGAATTATAATCATCTGGAAACAGGGGTGGAGACTTGTTTCACCACTTTTCATCTTTGCTGGAGTCTGCAATTTTTCCAGCAATAGTAATGAATGAAAAGGTTTGATAGTTATTGCTTTATTATTGTTGTTTGTTATTATTATAAGTATTATGATGGTTGTTAATTGAAAATGCATTTGCATCAAAATCTTAACTGCAAGTAAGTAATGTTTACATTGAAATAATTTCTTCTTTTGGAGTAGGATATTATGGAGTGGGAGGAAGATTCAGATGAGTACATAAGAAAAAATCTCCCTTCTGAATTGGTATGCACTTGTTCAAATCGTTTATTGGTTATACGACTTCAACCAACAGTAACTAATTGTGAGCCTGTGAAGTATTCTGATGGTCAACAACATGTAAATGAAGAAGAGGTTGTTGGTGAGGCATTTGAAGATTCTGTTTTGCAAAAACTTCAAAAGGTTTGACTAATTGACTTTCACTTCGTCTCTTTAATTCTTGATGTTCCTTTTTGACAGAATAACTTATTCCTTTTTTTTTTGCAGGGTACTGAGAGACAAAAATGAGTTTTTGCAGAATATCTAGAATTAAAATTTCAAAATTGCTACTAGAATATGAGTACATTGATTATGTTATGACAGAAAGATAGGTGACAAAATATCTAGAATTTAAATTCCAACATAACACATGAAAGGAGACCAAGAAGGATGTTTCTATAGAAGAACTGTTGTCGATTTCAATAAGTAAGAATATCGTGAATATGGGCAGTTACTTTTTTATTTTTATTTTTTTAATTTTGTTACAGATAAATGAATGGGAAATGGATTGTGGATGACAATTGGGAATATAGTGGCCATACAAGGGTAACCATTTTGAAATGTTATAAGTTTTTTTTTTAATATTTATATTATTATTATTATTATTATTATTATTATTATTATTAATACTTTTAAATATTTGCTATAATGTTTGAATTAACTTTTTTCTTTCTTTGTTTTCATTTTTGGTGGAATTGTTTATTTTCTGCAGCATATGGGTGATTTTAATTATCCAAGATTAGCTTACTTTGGTGCTGCAATATCTGGTTCAAACAAAGTACAATGCCAACAAGTGCTTGAAGAGCTAGATGTAAGTCACATTTAATGTTCCATAAAGGTTTTCTGCTTTTTTTTGCCCAAGAAAGTTTCTCAAATACTTGGTTCTCATTTTTCCATTATATTCAATCTAGGTTTACAAACAGTTGAGACTTAGTCTTGAGTTATTAAAGAAAGAAACGGAGATACATAGGATTCAAGTAAGTCCTGGTAGCAATTTTATTTATATATTTGTTTTAAGAAGGTCTTTATTTCTTGATACCATTTTTTTTAATTTACTTTTAGGAATCCATAGCAAAAGCTATTGAAGAGAAAATAAGCACCGAACAATGCCATTACTTGTTAAATGAGCAATATAAGGCTATAAAAAAGGTGGCTTTTGTTACTAATTCTTAGCGTCTCCATTTATTAGTCTTGTAGTATATTGCTCTTTATGCTTCATTTTATGTTAGTCTTGTGTTGTGAGATTATGTATGCTTTCAGAATTTAATATGATACATGATACCATTCTTCCGTTCTTCCGTTTTCATTGAAAAACCAAAATTACCTCATTAAAATTTATAAGTGAAAAAAGATAATTTGTTCTTTCTTTTTCATGGTGAATTCCATTCCCTTTTGCGCAGACCAAACGTGTGACAGATTTCATTCCTTCCAATTTCTTGCTTTTATAAGGTTTTGATGTTGCAGGTGATTATTTTTAGTTATAAATTAATAAATTGTGTTATATAGGAGTTCGTTTCACTTCATATCGTAGGAACTTTATGGTGAGTTTTTCACTAGAATTGTGAGTTCATGAGGTGATTGAATTTATGAACCCGATTCTCTGGTCTGTTATTTTGTTGTGTTATTTTTGTTGCTTTTTTAGTTGCTAATAATCTTGATGTTTATTATTTGCAGCTTGCTTGGACATGCTATAACTTTTATTAGTCCACACCAACAAAGTTTGGTGGAGAATTTCTCATTATGATGTGTTGTTTCTTGTGCAATTTTATTTTTAGGAGGTATTTTACTTTATTAAATGTTTAAAGTTACAGGATATGAGCATGGGCACATCATGGAACATTTTAGTGCAGTTGTTGGTCTTCCTCTTGGTGATCCATCAATGAAGTCGCCAACTGGCATCATGTAATAACATTTTAGGTGAAGATGAGGTATATGTTTTTTTAATGAATAATGTAATATATGTATGAATATGAAATAAAGTTTGTTATTTAGTATGTGATAATGATGTATAGGGAGAAACCAACTTCTATTGATTTGTTTTATCTTTCCATGGATCGATTATTTGTATGACATTAAATTTTATGTAATGGATTGTATTTTTTGTATATGGTATTTTATTTTCTATTATGAGACATTAAATGCAAATTTAATTTGAAAATTAGTGAATCTATAAATAATATTTTTTTTAATATTTAAAATTACGATACGCAAAAATGTGTGTCATCTTCATTTATGACATGGCCTTTCTTGACAGGGGCTTTAATCATAAGCAATGTGAGTCGTAAATGTGCGTCGTAAGGTTACGACACGCAAATGCGTGTTGTCTTCTTTATGACAGGGCATTCCTTGACACGCATTGCGTGTCGTAAGAGCGCGTCGTAAATGCGCGTCGTAAATAGACGACGCGCAAAAGCGTGTCGTCTTTCGTTATAACAGGGCCTTTCTTGACACGCATTTGCGTGTCGTCTGAGCATTTTACGACACGCATTGCGCGTCGTAAAAGGCTATTTTTCTAGTAGTAAAGTAACTAAATTTCCATTAAAACCATGACAAAAGTTCAAGAAATCAAGCAAAAAACTGGAAGATAAATTCGAATCGAAGAATCCAATACTTAAAATCGTTGAGGAAGAAAAAAATCTATAGAAACAAACCAATGCTCCCATTTCCTCTGCAAATATCAACAAATAATGGCAGCAACATTTTCTGTTGCTTCTCCCTCTCTCTCGTTTGTCTCTCTCTCTCTCTCTCCTCACATTCTCCTTGTTTATCTTTCTAATTTTCAAATCGCATCACGTACACACACAAAGGGGAGATGATGATGGTCTCCCTTTTCTTCCTTTCTTGCTTTTGATCGAACATAGCACAAGTCACATATGATCTGTGTTGGAGTCGAGGAGGGTGGAGGACAACATGCGACGTCAATGGTGGAGCGTGAGGAGGAGGACATCTGTGAATCACAAGCACTCATTCAAGGGGAAGAGTCGTTGAGGAATGTGAAGGGCATCGTGTTAAGGGAAAACGGGGCAATTCCATATCAAACGGGGGCCTTGATATGGAAAATAAACCATTTTTTAAGATATTTAATTTCGGTGAAGAATATTGAATTTCTTAAAACTTTGGGGTAATCTGAATCGAAAATAAACCTTTTTTATAGAGAATTGGTTTCCTTTTTCTAATTAAAACATATTATAAATATATTAAATTAATATAAGAAATTCATATATCAATGTTAATTTTTTTTTTTTAAATAATTTCATTCTGGTGAACAAGAAAGATTTATTTCTAGCCACTATTCGGGCTAAAAATTCAATGATACTCCTAAGAAGTAAATAATACTTTTTGTTTTCTTAAAATGATTAAAACACTAAGTCCTAACCTTTAAGCCATACTTCATAAAATCATAAGTTATAACCCTAAGTCCTGAGCTCTAAACTATGGCTTTTAAGCCCAAAATTATACACCAAAAACCCTAAATCGTAAGCCAAAAGTCATAAGCCCTAATCCATAATTGAGCCACAAGACACAAGTCATATACCATATGACGTATGTCATATGTCATATGACATATGTCATACACCCCACATCCTGATCCATAAGCCTTAATCCATAACATTAAGCATTAAGTCTTAAGCCTTAAACCATATGTCATATGCCTTGGTCCATAAGCCTTAAGCACTAAGACATAATATATAATCCATAAGCCACACACCAAAACCCATAATCTATCAGCCATAATCCTTCAACCTTAAGCCCTAAGGATTAATCCATACGACCTAAGACTTAACTCGTAGGGGATAAGCATTAAACATTAAGCCTTAAGACATATGTGACATACGCCCTAAGTCGTATGACATAATCCCTAAGACCTAATCCCTAAGAGCCACTCCACAAGTCATAAACCTTAAACCTTAAGTCATAATCCCTGAAACATAAAACTATAAGTAACCGTTTTGCAAAGCCCTAATCCAAAATTTATAACCCTTAAGGCCCACAACCTTAATTTATAAAACATTATCCTTAAGCCTTATACTTTAAACCATAACCCATAAGAGCTAACCCCTCAAGCATAAGATATAAGCCTTAAGTAAATGGTGCATGAGCTATTGGTTAGGTCTTAGGGATTATAGTTTAAGGCTCAAGGCTTAAATCTTAGGGCTTATAGCTTAAGTTTCGAGGGTTAAACCTTAAATCTTAAGGCTGGAGGCTTAAAGCTTAAGGATTAAGGCTTCACGATGAAGGTTTATGGTGTATGCCTAAATACACCCTACCTTATCTCAATCCATATATCCACCCACCCTACTAAATCCACATATGCATACATGTATACCCCCCACCTACACCATATACCAATACCAACACGATTACACATGCACCCACACACTTAGCACCCACCCCTAAATATTAAGTGTCATCCCTACCCCATAAATCGCATCATACCCTTACCCCTCACTCTCACCACACCCCACCCTAAAATCCTACCCCCACCCACACCTTATAATCAAAACCCACCAACACTTCATATATCAACTTTCACCCACCTATGCATGCATGTACACACACACCCATACACCATCTACCAATTCCCACCCATACATTCCTACTTACACATGCACCAACACATCCAACACCCACCCTAAATGTTAAGTGTCATCCCTACACCAAACAACTCACCCCATCCCTACTACCATAACCAACCACCTTACACATCACCCCCATCTACAAATCCCCACAACACTATACACCACCTACCCTATCCCTAATCAATATATCCACATACCTCACCCCACTCTACAATCCTACCCCACCAACAACCCTATATAAAGTTCAACCCACCCTTACCCATACGACCATACCTACAACCATGTGTATAACGGAAAAGCTAAGTTCCATACACCAACATTTATGAAAATTTTAACTTATTTTTGCATCTATTTTGGTTCACCCCTCCCTCCTCCTCCCATCTTTACACCCCATTTTGTCTAGCAATGCAAATAAATTAAAATTTTTATATTTTACATAAAATTAAACAAATGTTATAACAAATTTGTCTACATACTATTTAGTATTCATGATATTTTTATTGAAAAAATATATCTTGGGAATTTAATTAGTAAAAAATATGCTACGAAAAATTAGCTTACAAAAAAATCATAAAAATATATGTAATGCTATAAAAAAAAGATTGTATATCATGTTTATTTTATTTTAAAAAAGAAGGCTTAATACCATAAAAGCCATAAGTTTTACACCCCGATTCTAAATTAGCCCTAAATGGATTTTTTGTTTCTAATTAGCCTTAAATAATTGTGACCACGTTTCAAAATCGTATTATCAACCGGTTAACAACATGTTAAGGTACGCAGCCGGTCACCACTCTCCTATACTACTCGATCTTTGAAAAATCATTCATACACCACCAAACATCACCTTTCACAGGAACGCCTTGCATCAAAAAAGGGTTTCATGTAGTTGGTATTAGGAAGAAGAAGGGTTTGAAAAGGGTTTCTTACACCATTGTTGCATGCAAAAAGCTTCTATTTTGAAGTTGAAAGACACTGAAGTAGAAAGGTACGTGGGGTGCCAATAAGAAATTGACGTGTATGTGTGTTCTTATCTTCCATAATCGAGTTCCATAGTGTCACTTACAAGTTTAATTTTTCATCTTGAACAGATGGCTTCATCATCTGGAACTAAAAAGGTGAAAGGGCCTGAAAAGGTTTATGTAAGGGACGAGGACTCTGATGATGATCTCATAGATTTCTTTTTCCTGGATTTTGCACGAGAGATCTTTAAACCAAACTCAACCCTGTCTGATGACCCATTCCTTAACATATTATGTGATGAAATATGTTGAGGAGGACTCTTAATGGAATGGGAGATGATCAGGAAGCTGGTGTTAAGGATCCATGTGACAACCCGATACTTTCTAGTCAATAAGAGTCAATTCCGTTAAATAAAATTTCGAATTTTGGTTATTCCGTTAAGCTCGTGAGGGTTAGAAAAAAATCTTAAATATATAAACATAGTTTATATATAATTTTTTCGGAACCAAAAACACTCGAAAAATCAAGTTTTCCCCTCGAAAATCAGCAAACTTGTCCAGCCATGCGTTTTTTGGCCGAAAACCCTCGGGCCGAAAACGAATTTCGGCCGAGAACCCCCATTCCGGCCGAAAACCCAACCGCTATAAAGGTTTTTCCCCGGAAACTTGATCATTTCTCACTCATTTCACCCTAAAACTCTCTCAAAAAGCTCCCAAGAATCTCCCAAGAACACTCATACATTCAAGTGGGAATCTTCAAATCTTAATATTTTCCCCATGAACGGCCTTCATATCTTCAAGGAGCCGAAAACACCAACAGATCAAACACCTGTTTTCGGCCGCAAACTAGTTTTCAGCCGCAAACCAGTTTTCGGCCGTCAACCCCCTTAGAACCGAAAACCCCTTGACACTCGATCCATTTACGGTAAATATTCCTAACACAAAGACAAGTGTTTTCTAACACTTTAAATTAATGGTTTCGCTAATATAAATACAATTATGTGTTTAATCATCATTAGGATTTCGTTAATTTCGCATACAACAACTCGAGGGTCATCTTCCCGGTCTCGCTATCCGACACGTGCACCAACAACTGTGAGTTCATACCCCTACATTTTTACTGTTTTTAATGTTCTCAGGGGGAATACAAGTAAAGCACAAGGATTTTTTGTTTTTATACAAATGATTTTATTCAGATTTAAAACTTTTGCAATTGATACAAATCGAGGAATCACTACATTTTACAAAAATATTGAGATATTTTTATCCCTTTTGTAACATGCTGAGCATAAGGGTAGTTTACAACATACAACTATAATTGCAAAATTTCCAGTACAATAC